GACCAGCAGACGCCAAATTGGCAGGAAACTAACCTCTCTTCGGATCCTTAACTGTAGCCGAGCTGTACAAATATTGCTCGCGAAATACATATGCACTGCGAACAAGTATCAAACGACTGTTTATGTTTAAGTGTGGCTGATACCTTTGACGAACGTCTCTTTCCCCTGACAAGTATGGATCTCCTTCCGCCAACATGGCGTCTCTGTGCTTCCGGTTCAGGGATCTACGAAAGTACCCTATTACCATGAAAAATTCACCCACGGGCCAGCCAAGTTCAAGTGTGATCATTGTGCAATGGGATTCAAGCACAAGAAAAATCTCAAGGAACAATTACTGGCTAAGCATAAAATTGTTTAAAAGAGTTTAAAAGTAGTTTTCTGCTTACTTTGTTAGTTAAATCGGAGTTCAACATGTGTTCGACGGTGATTAGTTTCAGCTGTCAACTTATGTTTCTTTTATGGCTGAACGATAGCGAAGCCCGTTACTCAGGTGCGGTTAAAAGTTTTTCATGTCTGCGTGCATGCGTGTCCGCACTACTCCTGAACGGCTTGGCCGATCTCGGTGAGATTTTGCATGCTTTTTCGGTGTGTTCTTGGCTCGGCACACGCGAAATTTCACTATCCTAGCTCAACTGGTTCAGTTTTTATAGCCGAAAAATACCTAAAAACGGCGAAAAATCGAGTTTTCTGCGGGCAGATCACTTCTGTCTTGAAGAAAGGGGGGTCTGAGGGGTGGAGCCCGCCCTCGACAAGTTAAAAAGTTACAAGGGTCAAGATCGTGCTATCTGTAGATAAAGCAACTCTATCTAGAATGAAGGGGGGTCTGGGGGCAGAGCCTCCTAGCATGCAAGTAGTAAGAAGTAACCGACGATGGACAAGCCATTGCCTGCCGAAGGCAGGCTAGCGCCGCAGGCCAAGGTAGGTACGCCAGGCGCGGATTGGAGGAACAGGCCGCGAGACATCGCGAAGCCTGTTACGACAGACAAGACGTGGTCTGGCGTAAACCTACCTTATAACACTGTACTGAAGTACTGCGTGACAGTTGAGAAAGAAATGAAGGCGACTGCTCAGAGAGGCTGTTATCATGGCTGTAAAGAAAAACATTAAGACTGCCCAAGAGCAGCAGAAGCGTGGACACGACAAGCGCCACACATGTGGGCAAGAGCTAAAAGTGAACCAGGCTCTGTTCCTCCTTAACCGTCGCCGCCAACTACGTCAAGGTGGCAAGCCTGAGAAGCCAAAAACGGAACCATTTATCGTCCAGGAGACTACAGACAGGAAGACGGTGGTCGTGGTCAATGCTTCAACTGGAATAGAGCATTCTAGTCGTCGCCGATCGACGAACAATGGGAAGAACGAAACCGGAAGCCGGGAAGAAACGGAGTAGGTATCAAACCCGGTTCCAGCGAGAAATGTCGACGAATATTTTAATTTCCTGTGTTAAAAAGTGTTCGGAACAACCGAAAGTGCTTTTGAAGGAGAGTCTGGGAGGTTATGTAGCCGGCGCCAGTTCCGGCTTGGTTCATCTTCTTGTTCTTCGATCGGCGACGACTGGAAAACTATATTGCACTGAGAAAAGACACCCAATTGCACACTGTGAGCCTGAGTATGAGGCCGAGGGGTAGGACAAGAAATCAAAACGAAATACGAGGAGTGAAGGGGTGATTCCGTGCGTAGAGGGTCATTTTGGATGTACCAAATGTTCTTTTTAAAAGTTCAACTTTAGGGGCTAAATTTGATGTAGATGGCATACATAGTACCCCACAGTACCCGTGGCAGCGCTACAAGTTGACTTTTAGTTTCACCCCCTATGAAATACGGCAGAATTTACAGAAATAATGACGGAATTTACAAAGCGAAGTGTTTAGTCTCCTGACCCGCTGAATTACAAGATAAGTAAAAACTGATGACGGTGTCATTTTCGAGGGGGAATAACTCCCCCTTTTGGTGAACACATGATTGCAAGGAGGCGGGATTTCATGGATTTCGCAGGATTGCGTGACATTTCAAGGATTGCGTAGATTGCGCCGGATCTCTTCAGATTGCACGCGATTTCAATGATTGCGGTCGGATTTCGTAAGATTGCGATGGATTTCACAAAATTGCAATAAGATTGCGATGGATTTCGCAAGATTAGACTATGATTGCGCTGAATGCAAGATACTTATTTCTGTTGGAACACCCAAGAAATGCCGTTTTTCGTGGGTTGTCATTGTGTCTATTTTTTACGAACAGAGGGTCTTCCAAAGTATAGGTGGCAGTGCTTTGGTTTTTGGTGATTTAGTTGCTTACTATGAAAAACTTCAAAAATTCTCCTTGCGAAGAAGAAAAAAGTTTACGGCAGTGTGATTTTTTATTTTAGAGCCCAATAGTCGTGCAAACAGACTAGCAAAGCCAGATTTGACTGCACTGAGAATCCAAACGCTATGAGTATAGCGTCAATTGGTGCAATGCAAAAGCATTGCACATGAAGTGCAATGCCTCCCCAATCCCATGCATTAGCATAGGGCATTTTCGGGACGCATTGCACGTAAGGTGCAATGTGGCTAATCGCATTGCACGTATGGTGCAATGTGGCTATCGCATTGCACGTATGGTGCGATATCTCAGCTGCATTGCACCATACGTGCTTTACTCATAGCGTTTGGAATCTCAGTGTGTACATGCAAAGGGCAGCCGGAATCTTACTTTGAAAAATGTTTTTTTCTTATGTTACTCAAATTGATAAAATTTTGGTAATTTTTTTTTTGTCTTTTGAGAAAAATTTCTGTTCAATGTTGGAAATTCGGAAATCCGGCTTTGCCACGAGATAGGCAAATCAATAAAGAACTTGTAAAACAAGGTAGGTGTACGCCAGACCGTGTCTTGTCGTAACAGGCTTCGCGATGCTGCGCCAGTTTCGACCATCCACGCCTGGCGTATACACCTACCTTGGCCTGCGGCGCTAACCTGCCTTCGGCAGGCTGCTTTCCCAGGCAGACCGTGGAAATGGGCGTGATCCCCTCAAAAATAGCATTTGGTCATCAAAATCTACACCGATCGGATTCAACTTTCGGTCTGTTGAGATTCCCTATTTTCCGGGTTTCTTACTGATCGAGAGGGTTTGGATTAAGTGGAACACTCACACTGGATTGGACTTTGAGTATATTCTTTGGACTGATTGATTTGGCCTCACACGCACCTTTACACGATTCTAGCTTCCCTACGACCGCCCCGAGGCCGAGGTGTCGTTCTCGCTGGAGGGCCCCGCGGCTCGCGGAGCGGGCCGCGAAGGGCCCGCCGGGCGGTGCTACTGCTGCATCAATCGTCGCGCCGCGAACCCGCTCGTCTAGGTGGCCGTGAGCCGGGTCGGGTCGCGGCGCGCGACTTTTGAAGTTGTCCCTCAACATCCGCCCGGCCTAGAAACTGTCGACCCCGACAGACTCCGTGAAGAAAACTTTATGATACTAAGATTTACAAAAGAAATCCTAGGGGCGTGTGAGACCGATACAATACTTTTTTTAGATACGAGATTACAAATACATAACCGTTTTCACAACGGGAAAGGATACAAGAAAAAAAAAAAAATTCTTATCAATCGACAAAACATACTTAAGAATATACAATTGAAGTTTCACGATGAAATCATCCAAAAAAAATTATTTTCTACCCGTAACAATTCTAAAACTACTCCCAAAAATGTATCATTTTAAATAATAATATGGCACTAAGCTATTATTGAAGTGTCATCTAAACCCTATCTCTTTCTTCTCTCTGGCTAGCAACCGGGCAGGGACGCTGGCTCCCATGTGGCTTATTCAGGAAACGCCGCGGAAAGCACGTTGGCAAAAGGGTAGGTTCTTCTTCCTTTTGCGGGTTTGGAGATGATGTGGCCAGCACTGTTAATGGCGCCGAAGGCAACCACAGTGGGCTGCGGCAGGCGTTGCGCCTGTCCGCAGCTCGCGCG